TTGAAAAACCATTGGTTTTTTGATGTTTTTATGTTAAAATCGCTGCGAACACTAAGGTTTTGGAAGGATTTCGTCTTGCGCGCGCGAATGTCCACTTTACCTTATTTTTTGCAAGGGATTCTTGAAATTTGATTATATTAGAACAAGAAATGTCATTTTCTATTGTTTTTTGCAAGGGAAAGCGGATTACAACAAAACAACCGGATCCTGTACACACCCTCTTTTCTGAGGCTTCCTCACGAAAATGATGAAAATGTAGCTGCGGCCTAGGCGGCGCAGGGGGGGCGCGCACCAGGGGGCCCAACAATAATTATTCTTTAGAATAAATAATGTTCAACAACAACAACAACAAACAACAACAACAACAACAACAACAACAAAACAACAACAAGCAACCAGCACAACAAACAAACAAACAAACAAACAAACAACAAACAACAACAACAACAACAACAACAACAACAACAACAACAACAACAACAATCATTTAAGACTGGGGACACTCCGTTCTCACCAGTGCCAGGGTTTTCATAGGAGGCGGGCAATACCCCCACTTTGTGGGGGGGCCGGTTCAAGCTCTACCAAATTTCCAAACGACTCTTCGCCACCACCCACACCCAGCTTCCCGCCCTATGACGTTCGGACACTTCACTTCGTGGCATGCGGACGACCGTGGCTACTATTCAGGGCCCCGCGGCCGACGACGACGGCGTGCGCGCGCGAAGAAAAAACGAATGTGTCCCGCATGGTATTATTTGACAGGGATGATGGCCCTGGCAGGTGCGCAACCGTTGTCGCAGAAGTTCGAAAAAGTTGCTCGCAAAAGCCCGTTTGACAGAAATGTTTAAAAAGTGTTGGGTTTCCTACGAATCCGCAAGAGCGCGCGGGATGAAATTTCGACAATTTTTTTTGAAAAACCATTGGTTTTTTGATGTTTTTATGTTAAAATCGCTACGAACACTAAGGTTTTGGAAGGATTTCGTCTTGCGCGCGCGAATGTCCACTTTACCTTATTTTTTGCAAGGGATTCTTGAAATTTGATTATATTAGAACAAGAAATGTCATTTTATATTGTTTTTTGCAAGGGAAAGCGGATTACAACAAAACAACCGGATCTTGATCACATCGTTTTACCTGAGGCTTCCTCACGAAAATGATGAAAATGTAGCTGCGGCCTAGGCGGCGCAGGGGGGGCGCGCACCAGGGGGCCCAACAATAATTATTCTTTAGAATAAATAATGTTCAACAACAACAACAACAACAACAACAACAACAACAACAACAACAACAACAACAACAACAACAACAACAATCATTTTACCCGAACGCTCAGTGTTCTCACCAGTGCCAGGGTTTTCATGCGACGCGAGACAATACCCCCACTTCGTGGGGGGGCAGTTCAAGCTCTACCAAATATCCAAACGACTCTTCGCGACCACCCAAACCCAGCTTCCCGCCCTATGACGTTGGGACACTTCACTTCGTGGCGTGCGGACGACCGTGGCTACTACACTGGCGTGGGGTACACACCCACAGAACTTGGTCACTTATTCGGGGCGCGCGTGTGCCCAGCATCCTGCAATTGTGACATACAATACATGACACAGACAGACAGAGAGAGAGACAGAGAGCAGACAGAGAGAGAGACAGAGAGAGCGGAGTTGGTCACATTTTTGGGGCAAGTTCCTGAGATCGTCGTGTTTTTTGTTGGTCTTGCGCGCGCGAATGTCCACTTTACTTTTTTTTGCAAGGGAGTATTGAAATTTGATTATGTTAGAACAAGAAAAAGTAGCTCGCGCGAGCTCATGTAACATAAATGTTGAAAAACCATTGGTTTTGTGGGAGTCGGACAGCGCGCGCGGGATGAAATTTGGACATTTTTTTTTGAAAAACCATTGGGTTTTTGATGTTTTTATGTTGAAATCGTTACGAAACCTAAGGTTCTGGAAGGATTTCGTCTTGCGCGCGCGAATGTCCACTTTACCTTATTTTTTGCAAGGGATTATTGAAATTTGATTATGTTAGAACAAGAAAAAGTAGCTCGCGCGAGCTCATGTAACATAAATGTTGAAAAACCATTGGTTTTGTGGGATTCGGACAGCGCGCGCGGAAGGACATTTTGACAATTTTTTCTTAAAAAACCATTGGGTTTTTGATGTTTTTATGTTAAAATCGCTACGAAACCTAAGGTTTTGGAAGGATTTCGTCTTGCGCGCACGAATGTCCACTTTACCTTATTTTTTGCAAGGGATTCTTGCAATTTGATCAAGTAAGAACAAGAATTTTCATTTTATAGTGTTTTTTGCAAGGGAAAACGGATTACAACAAAACAACCGGATCCGGACACAATCCACTTTTCTGAAGCTTTCGCTAGAAAATGAAGGAAATGAGGCTGCGGCCTAGGTTTTGGAGGGGGGTCGCGCACCAGGGGTCTCAACAATAATATTTCTTTAGAAGTAATAATATTCAACAATTACTAGCACGTGGGGACACTCCGTTCTCACCAGTGCCAGGGTTTTCATAGGAGGCGGGCAATACCCCCACTTTGTGGGGGGGCCGGTTCAAGCTCTACCAAATTTCCAAACGACTCTTCGCCACCACCCACACCCAGCTTCCCGCCCTATGACGTTCGGACACTTCACTTCGTGGCATGCGGACGACCGTGGCTACTATTCAGGGCCCCGCGGCCGACGACGACGGCGTGCGCGCGCGAAGAAAAAACGAATGTGTCCCGCATGGTATTATTTGACAGGGATGATGGCCCTGGCAGGTGCGCAACCGTTGTTGCAGAAGTTCGAAAAAGTTGCTCGCAAAAGCCCGTTTGACAGAAATGTTTAAAAAGTGTTGGGTTTCCTACGAATCCGCAAGAGCGCGGGATGAAATTTTGACATTTTTTTTGAAAAAAAACCATTGGTTTTTTGATGTTTTTATGTTAAAAGCGCTACGAAAACTAAGGTTTTGGAAGGATTTCGTCTTGCGCGCGCGAATGTCCACTTTACCTTACTTTTTTCAAGGGATTCTTGAAGTTTGGATATGTTAGAACAAGAAATGTCCACTTTAGCTTATTTTTTGCAAGGGAAAGCGGGCGTCAACAAAACAACCGGATCTGGATCACATCGTTTTGCCTGAGGCTTCCTCACGAAAATGATGAAAACGTGGCTGCGGCCTAGGCGCGGCGGGGGGGCCATGCACCAGGGGTCCCAACAATAATTATTCTTAAGAAGAAATAATGTTCAACAACAGCAACAGCAACAACAACAACAACAACAACAACAACAACAACAACAACAACAACACCAACAGCAGCAGCAGTAGCAGCAGCAGCAACAACAACAACACCACCACCACTACCACCACCACCACCACCACCACCACCACCACCAACAACAACAACAACAACAACAACAACAACAACGACCCGGGCGAAACCCAATCGGGCGAAACCGACTCGTGCCCCACTCCCCTTCCCATCCTCATCGCCTCCCCTCCCTCTCCCCGTTCCCCCTCCCCGAGCCCCCGCCTGCGAAAGGAGCCGCGTAACTGGGGGCGGACAGTTCCCCTCACCTGCCACGGGCTCCCGCGCGCGTGCATGACGAGGGGTGGGAGCAGGAGGGAGGAGGGAGCAGGAGGGAGCGGGATGAGGAGCAGGAGGGAGGAGGGGAGAGGATGAGGATAAGGAGCAGCAGGGAGCAGGGAGAAGGATCAGGACAAGCCGAGCACCCTCCGATCCCAAGTCCCCTCCTCACAGGTCCCTACAAGCATTCCTTACAATGCGGGAAGCACCCCTTTGGAAGGCGAGCACATGAGTGGCCTCTTGTTCGGCGAGAGCACCTTGTCAAAGGATCCGCCCAGTATCCTTCGAGGTGGTCAGGTAGGATCAAAGGACGTGCCAAACCAAAATTCAACTTGAGAGAAGATAGAAAATACCCTCCATGTGCGTAAGCGTAGCTCTTGCAATCTCGAAACTCTGATCGAAAATCCTACACAAATCTCAAGCTAGAGTCCCGTGTTCAAAGAGATCCGGATTTGCCGCACAATGCTGACTGCATGGCCGTAATGCTGGACGAAAACTGCAGCGAGAAGCCGGTGATGAAAAGAAACCGGCTTGCATGCGTGTAACTGTTGGGATACAGCCAACCCGCAGAGTAAGGATGCGCGATAAGGATGCGAGGGCCTTGGACGCCTATTTCGAAGCTTCCCGAGCGGGGCGCGGCCAACGAGAGTGTCCAAGGATAGACCCAGGAAGCAAGGATGCAAGGGTACCCTTGGGAGGGATGCCTATCCTCACTCTGCGGGTCGACTGCATGCTGAGAGCAAGGCGCGCGGTTCTGAAAGAGAGAGCCGCACCTCGAGCACGGGGCCGGCCTCCAGGCGCGCAGCCGCTGGATGCTGTTTCTGGCGCCTGCGCGCGGCTCCAGGACGAGGGCACGTACGTTGAACACGGCCCGCCCTCCCACATACACAGGCTGGGGTGCTTCACTTCGGACACGTCCTCAGTGCTGCAACATTGAGATAGGCAGACACTGCCACTCCAACCACGTGGAGTCAGAACGCGCAGCAGTACCCAAGAATCAACTCTCCGATCACAAGACAGGAGGACATGATATCCTCCATCCACCACCATCAATGAACACGGCCCGCCCTCCATCCGTGCAACAGCTAGACAAATCTAGAACGAGTGCGCGCGGCGACATGACGAACCCACATTTTGATGATTTCCCGCCGTCCGTCCGTGCAGCTGTCGGAAGCTTACGAATGCTTACGAATACACGCGGCGCCAAGGCGAGAGCCACATTTTGACAATGGCGCGCGCTCCATCCATGCTGCTGTTGGAAACTGAAAAGCCTCAGGGTCGTGGCTGTTGAAGCAATATCGCGCGAAACGCCCAGCCCGTTCTACTGACACGCCCGCTGATCCGAGGAAACAGAATTACCAATTGGGAAGAGGGATTGGAAAGGAGAAGGCAGGAGGAGGAAGCAGGAGGAGCCAGCCCCCCTCTCCGCGAGGCCGCCCAGCAGGTACCGGGGCGTGAAAGTGATGTCGAGGGAGTCCCCCCGCGTCAGCGGCAACTGCGGCTTCGGGCGCTGGCTGTGGGACAAGTCCGTGCTGAGCTGCACCTGGCCCAAGCCCAGACCTCTAGCGCAACGAACAATCGGCACGGTGGCTGACTCGCCGTTGTCAGCCTCTGGAGCCCGCATCGTTTCTCGGGGCGATTTAACACGGCCCGCGAAGCTAAGCCGGTCTGGAAGAAAAGGTCGAGAACTCTGAACGCCCGTGCCACGTCACGGAAAACTCACGATGTCGGAGGCATTGGATAGCGGACTGGGATGGCGTCCGCATGCAACTGTGAGATGTGTGGGCGGTGCGCGCCATCCCAAAGCTCTGAATATAAAGTGCACATTTCAAGGTATGGCCCACGGCTCGAGTACAAGCAATTCTGTTCGGGCAGGGTGGCCACGGTAGCTCCGCGGACTGATATCCGCAATACCTGTTGGAATCAATCCACTCTGAGGGGGAGGGCTCAGCCAGGGGGAACGTGTGGCAAGTGCGATATGGAAAATGTTCACTGATTGTGATTTTGTCTCTCGTACTCGGCACAGTCGTCGAAAGAGAAGAGCAGGCGAAGGCGTAGGTGACGGTATCGGCGGTGAGGATGTCAGCAGTGGCGTAGCTGAGGGGATAGACGAAGGCGTAGCCAACGAGGGCGACGTGCATTTCGATCGGCAGCGTAGGCATAAGCGCAGGTGAAGACGTGGGAGAGGGTAGGCGAAGGCGCACGTGACGGTGCTGGCGATAGCGATAGCGTTGGAACATATGGTGATGATGTCGGCAATGGCGCACAGCCAGGCTGCTGAAATAAGGAACGAAGCCCCCCTTTCCCAAGTCGAGCCGTGAAATCCGAAGGAGCGGCCGTAAAATCCGAAGGAACCCCGAAGGGGCTCGCCACCAAAGGAGCAACGGAACGCATGCAAACGTAAGGGACGCCGAGCCCCTGCCGACATCGAGCTGGCCCCTACTTCAGCGGACGGAACGCAGGCGAGCGCACAGAGACGGAAAGGGGGGAGGACGAGAGGGCGGCAGGCCCCGGGCCCAGGCCCAGAACGGGCTCTCGGTGCGAAGGAGTCCGGCCCCGACGCGCACCGGAAAGCGCCCAGAAGGCTCGCACCTCAGCGATGTCGAGAAGCCCAGAGAATGCGGAGAGATGGGGGGGAATCCTGTGATTTGTGCGTATGGGGCTCCGTAGCCCACCCCGCCCAAGAGCGTGCGGACTCGCTGTCGGGGCGCAGCGCGTCGCCGACTCCAGCTCGGCGCTTTCCTCCCCTGAGCCGGTCCTCCCCCCGGCGTTCCCCTTCAAAGCAAGCAGCGGCGAAGCGTCTACAACAGCTCGGGGTGCAGTGCCCTCACCTCGGGGGCGGGCCAGGGGGGAAAGCGAGAGCGGGAAGGCCTTCTCGAAGGCGGCGGGGCTCCGCAGAGGGCCTCCGGCCCTCTGGGACTCTTCGGCGCCTCCGGGGTGGGAACTCCTTGGAATCATATCTAACATCAACTTTAATTTCATGTTTGTCGATATTTATAACTATTTCTGAAAGTATGGTAAAATCTTCTGCGATTGCATTGTTTTCTAAGCTGGGGAACTTCCGAGCCTTCTGGGAGGGCCCGCCCCTTCTCACTTCCCCCCTAGGCTGGCCGCCGACTCGAACCTCAGCGATATCGAGAGGCCCAGGGTGCGATACCCACATCCACACGAAATTACGCTCTCTAACAAGCATCTGGAGGCGAATGCGACCGTGGCGGCCAGGGTCCCCCTGAAGGCCTCCAAGATGCCAGAAACGTCCAGGAGCTCCCCTTCCCCTTGATCATCGATCCTTCCCATCCAGACGTCTCCAGAGATTACCAGAAACCTCCAGAGGCCACCAGAAGCAACATTCATAACAACAGACCACATACAACATACAACACGCAACAGCAGACAACAGGCAACAACAACAACAACAACACCCACAACAACAACCACCACCACAATTGCAGCACTGCCACAACAACAAAACAAACAACAACAACCATTGCCTAAACCACGAAACCAACGACAACACTATCAAACTCAACAACAACAACAACAACAACAACAACAGCAGCAGCAGCAACAGCAGCAACAACAACAACACCAACAATCATTATAGGACTGATCGCTCTTATTTGCCCGCGCGCCATTCAAAACAAGTTCCCCACACCCTCGATACCCGCCCTGTTTGTGTCCGATCACACCCGACTTGGGCGGAGTGTTTCTCTTTGCGGGGGGCGGCGGGCTTAGACAGGCGGGCCCGCCATTGGAATTGGTGTGGGCCCTGCAAAGAGAGGAGGGGGGAACGAGGGAGAGTGGGAGGAGGGGAGGAAGAGGGACGAAGGAAAAGGGAGAACGCCAGGAGAAAAGGAGCAAAGAAGGGGGCGGTTCATTAAAGGCAGAGGGCGAAAGAAAGAGAGAGAGAGAGACACAACAAAACATATACGAGAGGTAGACAAAAAAGAGAAAGAGGGGACAGAGAGAAAGAGAGAGACAGAGAGAAAAAAAGAGGGAGAAAGGAGGCAGGAGTGGCGAGTGGAAAGGGAGGAGGGAGAGGAGGGATAGGGGATAGGGCAAAAAGGCATAATGATGAGGGAAAAGAAGGGGGGAAAGAGAAGGGAGAAGAAGAGGGAGGAGGGAAGAGGGAGGAGGGAGAGGGAGGAGGAGCAGGAAGGTAAGATCGTGAACGTTCGAATGAATCCTAAGCGAAAGCGCCGTTCCTGAAGGAAGTCTCGGGCGGGAGCCCACGACGGGCGGGCGATCCCCTGACCAACGGGTCGGGCGGGCGGAACATTCAAACGGGGATGCCTGAATATGGCGAAAACGCAATTCCTCGATAAAATATGAAGGGCTCTCTGGCGGGAGCGGGGGTCTTGATTAAATTGCGAGGAAGTCTTGATCGAGGAAGTCTCAAGCGGGAACGCCGTTCCTGAGCAAACTGTGGGGAAGTCTCGGATGGGAGCGGGGGTCGTGACCCAATTGCGAGGAAATCACAAGCGGGAGCACCGATCCTAGGTAAATTGTGAAGGAGTTTTAGGAGCGGGGGTCATGAGTAAATTTGGAAGAGGTCTCACGCGGGAGCCGTTGTTGTTGTAATCCGGGGTGCCAGGGGTCCAGTTTGAGCACCAAGACTTCCCCTGTCAGAAAACAGGGTGCGAGCGTCGAAGGGCACACTTTGATTGAGAAAACGCAGCATGCACCGGTGATGGGGGGATCAACAACAATTATCATTCAGAAACGAAGCGTCTACAACAACAACCACATCAACATCATCAGTACCAACATCAGCGACAACAACAACATCAACAAACCAAAAACGCCCCCTGGCGCCTGGATGCACGGAGTAATAGATACCCCGTGTACCCGATACAAAGAATAACATGCCACCTTATTCCTTGTATCCGATACACGGAATAATCAAACCCCACTATTCCGTGCATCCGAAACACGGGGTAATAGGCCGCTATGACTCCGTGTACCCGGTACACGGTTAAAACAAAAACTCTGCTACTCCATATACACGGAGTAATGGGCCCCTATTGCCCCGTGTGCGCGGAGGGCCCCATATAACTCCGTATACAAGGAGGAATCCGCCGACACTGTTGGCGTGTGTGGGGTGTCTGTCCGGTCCCGTCGACGGGGAGCCTTCTTTCGTCCACTCCTTCCTCATTCGGAGAAAGGGTTCGCAGCTTGAGGGAATTCCATCCACATATGTCGTTACGTCAAATGGAAGCCCCTTCCCTTTGTCCCTTCCCTGGCGGAAGGGGGGTCCGAAGGGGGGGGTCAAATTCGCATCGCCTCTGGGGGTCCTCCTCTCCCACGCTGGTCCTTCTCCGGCGCGCTGGTCCTCTCCGGGTCCTCCTCCCCAGGCGGGGTGAAGTCCCAGGGGGGGAGGGGAGTCAAATATGCATCAGTCCCTGGGGGTCCTCCTCCCCCTCCCCTCCCCTCTCCCACGCCTGTCCTCCTCCGGTCCTCTTCCCCAGGGGGGGGGATCCCAAGGGGGAGTCCTTTTCCTCCTCCTTTTCCTTTTCCTCCTCCTCCTCTTCCTCCTCCTCCTCCTCCTCCTCCTCCTCTTCCTCGTCCTCCTCCTCCTTTTCCTCCTCCTCCCCCTCCTGGTCGTCGTCGATGTCTTTCAGGGTCGGCGGCACCGGCCGTCAGGCCTTCACAATACAGCTTTATTACTCCATATATGCCGGCGCCCGCCAGCGTCGCGAACAACGACAACAACAACAACACATACAACAACAACAACAACACATACAAAAACAACAACAACGAAAACAACAACAACAACAACAACAACAACAACAACAACAACAACGAAAACAACAATAACAACAGCACCAACACCAACAACAACAACAACAATAAAAAGAACATCATCATCGACAACAACAACAACAACAACAACAACAACAACAACAATAGCAGCAACAACAGCAACAACAACAGCAACAACAGCAACAACAACAGCAACAACAACAACAACAATCATTTTACCCGAACGCTCAGTGTTCTCACCAGTGCCAGGGTTTTCATGCGACGCGAAACAATACCCCCACTTCGTGGGGGGGCAGTTCAAGCTCTACCAAATATCCAAACGACTCTTCGCGACCACCCAAACCCAGCTTCCCGCCCTATGACGTTGGGACACTTCACTTCGTGGCGTGCGGACGACCGTGGCTACTACACTGGCGTGGGGTACACACCCACAGAACTTGGTCACTTATTCGGGGCGCGCGTGTGCCCAGCATCCTGCAATTGTGACATACAATACATGACACAGACAGACAGAGAGAGAGACAGAGAGCAGACAGAGAGAGAGACAGAGAGAGCGGAGTTGGTCACATTTTTGGGGCAAGTTCCTGAGATCGTCGTGTTTTTTGTTGGTCTTGCGCGCGCGAATGTCCACTTTACTTTTTTTTTGCAAGGGAATATTGATTATGTTAGAACAAGAAAAAGTAGCTCGCGCGAGCTCATGTAACATAAATGTTGAAAAACCATTGGTTTTGTGGGAGTCGGACAGCGCGCGCGGGATGAAATTTGGACATTTTTTTT